AACAAAGTATATGCAATTTTAAACTATTATATTTAAATATTTAAAATATAAATGGCACAGACTACAAAACTATCTAAGTCATTTCTCCAGATTGGTAAACTTTAGAATGATTATTATTTATTTTAAATATAAAGTAATAAAGTTTCTGTAGTCTACATTACCTTACATCATCTAGCTTTTTTTTTCATTTTAGACTGGCTCATTCAGTGTTTTAGTACATTTATTATGAGGTGTTTCGGTTAGAAAATTTAATAATTTTTAAACGGTGTTTATATTTTAATACGTTTTAACCACAAAAATAACAGTTTAAAACATTTTTCCTGCCATTCCAATTTTTTTTTTTTTTTTTTTTTTATATATTATTTAAGGAAAATTTTTGACAATGACGGCATATAATAGATATTTCATTTTCTCTGATTCAGTAAATTTTTATTTTTATAAACTTGTAATATATAGTTTCTCTTGTAGACCAAGAGGACATGTCGTTTAATGATCTACAAATGAACTGTTTTATTTATTCTTTTTAGATGCCAGAAATATTTTTGAGAGATGTTTGATTTTTATATTTATTTATTCTAAATGAAGTTTGATGTTGTTGAATCTTTTTTTTTTGTTTTAGTGCAACCTATATATATTTTTAATCAATTTCACCCCAAGTATACTAAGCCATTTAAGTGACAATTTTGATTACAAACAGTTTTTGTTTAACAGTTTTACTTAATTTTTATTGAAAACAGTGTTTAAATATTAGCATTATGGTTCTTAATGATTTTTTTTTCTAAGTTCTTTGTACAGCTATAACTTAATTTTAGTGTGTTTTATTGAAAATAGTACTTAGTTTAACAAGAAATGCTTGACTATTAATGAGAATTTATGTCCTAATCTGGAATACCAAATAATTTTCTACATCTGTTTTTCTATGTTTTCCATTTTCATTTTTTTATAACACTAGTTTTTTGGGTTTTGTAGCCACTATCTTTTAAGCCTTATTATAATTGATATGCTCATCAAAAACGATGAATTTGTAAATTCGTTAACTTATGGATAAGTATATGTTTAATTATAGATGGGGGTGATTTGATTTAGGATGTATATATAAACACAAATGTATTTTATTTAGATCTAAAGTTATATCGAAGTCTACTTTTTTTAATTTAGTAAACTGTAATTTTTATGCTTTTAAATTCTTTATATAATAACTTTCTAATTCTATCTATTTTTGAAGTAAATTGATCTAAGACCATACAATAAATCGTCCCTGTACAATAAAACCAATATCATCTGTATTACAGCGTGCTGTAAATTTTAAATAAAAAACATATCTTTGATATGGTACCATAATAGAGTAATTTTCCTTCAAAGTAATATTCATTACCATGATAGTGTTTAAAATTAGAAAAGGCTAAATTTCTTTTTAAAGGGTAAAATAAAATTAATAAATAATTTGACCCATCGGTTAGAAATATTATAAAAAGGACTAAAAAAAAAGTTTCTGAAGGTGAAATTAAGTAACCATTTCCAGGTCAAAAAAAAAAAAAAAAAAAAAAAAAAAAGTAACTCATATAATACTTAAACTTAATGATTCTTCATTTAACTGGAATTTTAAAAATAAAAGGAAAAATTCTCTGATAAAAAAAAAAAAAAAAAAAAAATCTTTAATTTTCAAAAGCAGGAACACCGGACGATCCATTCAACCGACGTCGGTTTAGTAATATTCAAAAAGTATGAACAATGAATGGAAAATCTAGACTTTGATAGAATTTTAACCATGGAAACGTGATTTTCGCTGTGTATTTAAAACCATCGGAATAAAATAATGTTTAATGCTTTTAATTTATTGCAAAAAAAATAAAATTAGGGTTTTTGTATTATGAAACATGGTTGGAACTGTGTATGAAAAATAACCAATTTTAAATCAATTAATTTATTAATATTAATGCTCTGTAAATTTACATTGAGCACTATGTAAAATAAAATATCTATAAGAACACTGATTTTTTTATATCTTACTGTTCTTTCTTTTTATTTATATACATATATATATATATATATATATATATATATATATATATATAAAGAAAGAAAAGAACAGCTAATATATATATATATATATATATATATATATATATAATTGAACAGTAAGACTTCAAAATTAACTTAAGGATGAAATGGAACTAATGTTATTAATTTAATTACAAAATTAAATATCATTTTTATACTGTATATATTTTAAATCAATTAATTTATAATAAATATATAATATATATATATATATATAATCTGTTATTTTGCTTTGAATACTTTTTTTAAATATGAATATATAATATATATATATATATATATATATATATATAATATAAATATATATATTAAAGTCTATACCTAAAAAAAAGGACAGAAAAAGAAAGCGTAGTAACGAAATAAAGTTGATTTTTTTTTTTTTTTTAAAAGGAAATTTTAAATGATAAAAACAACAAAATAAGATTTTTTTTTAATTTTAAATGAATATAAAACTGAAAAAAATATTTAAATTTAAAAATTTAAAAAAAAAGACGTATAGTTCTGTTCCGCCAAATTAGATTTGACTGAAATAAAATCGTCTTTTCTCAGCGAAATATGACAAAATAAAAGTTTCTTAAATTGTCTTCTATACTTAGCGTTATACACGCGTTATTTGTTTAAAGCAAAGAAGAAAACCTTTACGAGGGTACACTCATTCAACGCGAAAAAGGCAATACAGCCAGATGCTTTATAAAATAAATTGAAACGAAAGACTTGGAACAGAATGATCGATACTAATTAAATTGCTAGATTTCTAGAAAATATAAATTGAAAAAATCAAAAAAAGCAACTATAGACCATCAAATGTCTCATGAATCGAAAAATGAACTGTTATCTGTAACCCGTGTTGAAACATTAATTTTTTATTTAGAAAAACTGAACACAATTAGAAAGAAAACAATAGAAATAATCAGGAAGACGCTACATAACGATAGAATTAAATTGTTGGAATTTAATGGAACCCTGAAAGCAAAAGTTACTTTGAAAATTCGCTTGAGGATGAATTTTGGAACTCTTTTAGCCTGTAATTAAATAAATTTAAAGTCTACTAAATGGAAATTAAATTTAAATATAAAATTTAAAAAATCGTTAAAAAAAAAATTAAGAATTTTAGCTGTTAACAATATAATTTTAAAAAATCCATTTTTGATTTCATTGAAAAATGCATCCCTTCTCACGACCCAAACGTAGCAATAACTGATACATTAAAGAACATATAGCCACCTGTCTGAAAAAAAACTGTAACCTTGGAAACATATTTTAAATCAATTTTAAAAATTTATGGAACTAATGTCTTTAATTTAATAAATTTAAATTGAGCTTTTTTTAGCTTCCATTTTTTTAAACTATTTTGTAAAAATAAAATAAAAAAAAAAAAATAAAAATATCTATAAGAACACCGGATTATATATCTTGCTGTTCTTTCTTTTTATAAGGTCTGATCAAAAAGTACCGGTACTGGTAAAATAAAAATAAAACTACAACACATATCAATTCGGCCTTTAATTTCCTTCAAAGTAGTACCCTTCTGAAGCCACACACATTCTCCAGCATCGTTTCCATTGATGGGAGCATTTCTGGACCTCTTTGTTTAAGATAGCGATCAGTTGCCTCGTCGAATTCTTTTGGGTTTTCTCGACGTGTTGAAAATCATGTTCCTCTCAAGTGGGATTGGAAGGATGAAAAACGTCGCAAGATGCGAGATCTGGGGAATATGGTGATTGTCGGACCTGGGGAATGTTGTCCTGCGCAAGCCATGATCAGTGATGGTACCTCTACGTTGTGATGAGATAACCACACTCTGCACACATTCCTCCCATGCACTACTATAAACAACAGAAGCGATGGACAGCGTTATAACTTAGTGTGCATACGCAACAGAGTTCAAGATCAGTTAGTGGCAAGCGGCTTCTCTCTGCGCAGTTTAGTTCTGTTGCCATACCAATAGTTCCGATAATTAGTCTCGTAGTTGTGAATGCAACTGTTGTTTCAAAGTTAATTCAAAAACAAGTATTACAGATTAGGAGCGGTCATGATTTGGGAATTGTACAAATAAATTAGATTCTGTCATCTCAGCAAACACAAACCATATTCTGTCCTCAAAAAGGAAAAATAAAATTGTTAAAATATTCTTGAACATTGTAATCCAAGCCGACTATTTCATTCGAGCAAAAAATAAAACGTGGCTAATGCTGCATAACAAGGAAATAGATCCTTTTCGACAATTGGCATGTCTGTGGAAGAGACTGATTGACTGAATAATTCGTTTTCGACTGCTTATCAGGTTACTTAAAATCGATATGTAAACTTATCCTTCAATTTGAGGCTAATATTCTTTCTATTTTCTTTATAGGCTAATGTTCTTTCTATTTTCTTTATATTCCAGAGAATGTGAGTAAATCTTAAAGAAATGCCTATGTAGGTAATCAGTATTTAATTAAATGATTGATTCGTTTTCTACGGTTTATCAACCCTTTGCAGGTTATTTAAAGCCAGGATATATTTTTAGATTCTAAAATTGTAAGATTTTTTTTAGATAATAAGTCATTTAGTCATACAAGTCTTACTAATTAATATGTCCCAGAAAGGGATATATTTGTTCGATGTAGCAAAGTGTTTGTTGACTACTGTAATCAAGTAGAACAATCTAGTAGATAACTGTAATGGACTGGTCCTCGTTGTAGTGGTAGGCAATAGGCGTAGCCAATAGGCGTAGTCCATGTGCTTCCACATCAGTCTGTATTTATGGCTGATACCAGCCAATCATATTATTGTGAGGGGGAACCCAGGTGTATGCATATTCATTACATCACTAATTAACCTGATGGAAGAAGAGGTGGATTTATATATATTTACGTCTAAGTAAAGGAAAGGAACCAAACTGAGACTCAGATTATCAATTCTAAGCCTTTATCCATTACGCCAAATGTATATCCAAG